TTATTTTAAGTCGTATATCACATATCGCATAACTTAGCGCCTCCTATCCTCTCATTTGCAACCCTTCGTGCCCTGTTTCATTACCTAGACGCATATCAGTCCACACTTGTCTCCTCAATTCCTGCACTAAAAAAAAAGATTGGCTGCTGCAGCAAATTAGATGGTAAAATATGGCATAGCATTTTTAATTGATTGTATCAGTCAATTTTTGGTTGTGTTAGCCTATCGAAATCCTATACTAACATTGCAGATAGGCTAACGCAACCAAAAATTGACTGATACAATCAATTAAAAATGCTATGCCATATTTTACCATCTAATTTGCTGCAGCAGCCAATCTTTTTTTTCAGTGTATAGATATCAGCCAATCTTTTTTTTGCGTGTGTAACTTCTATAATCCTCATTTTCCTAATCATTTTTTCTTATTTTTTTTCCTCAGTTTTTCTAAAACATTATTTTTACATGAATCTAATTCATCACTCCATAGTTTATTCCATATTTCTTTCCTATCTCCTCCTAACTCACTAAACCAACTCACTTTATGACACTCCATATAATGTTCCATGCAATCCATAAATATTTTATCTCTTGAGATAAGCTACAAGAAAATGTTATGAAAAATAGGGGGTTTAAAAATCCGTTTAAAAAAATCGACGTGACTGTGACCTGGTCTTGGCGACGCCACCCAAGGTTAAATCAATGGTACGTTCTTATATCCGCCTCCGAACTATACAACTTTTATTTGAAACATTTTTCCGTATCTATCATAGTTTTTGAGAAATCTTAATGCATTATTTAAAATGAGACACCCTCTATATGTATATCTCATTACTGCAATTGTATCAATTATCCAGGAAGGTCTGGGGGGGGGGGGGAGGGGACATTTGCCTTCCTCCCCCTCCCCCCGATCGAGAGACGCGTTGAATAAAAGCCCGTGTTGGTGGGGTTAAAATTTTAAAATACAAAAAGAAAATAAAAAATAAAAAACCCAAAAGAACGAAATATCTTCCTCGACATACGCCTACCTTGTCGTGAGGAAGCTTTTATTAAAAGGTGTACACATTAGAAATGAAGAAATGACCAAAAAAAAAGGTCATCAACTCAACACTGTAGGGATTGTAGGGTCATCAAGAAGGGAAATATTTGAACATTTTTTCCTTACGTGTGGCAAGACTGCCCCCTCACCTTAGAAAAAATTCTGCGAACGTCCATGCTAATTATAGCCTTTCCCTAATTATGTCTGTTTTTCCTTAAATTTTTGATACGACAGAGACGTATTATACAACAAGTGTTACATATAGCCGCAAAGAAATTTTACACAAGTGTTTATATTTTTTACAGAAATGTCTACAAAATATTGTCAATGAAATACTAACAGAAATTAAAAGAGAATCTGTTAATAGATTAATAATGGTTTAATTGTAAAATTTGTCATTTTAAAATTATTTTAAACAATATTTCATTTAAATAATTATTAAATGACAAATCTTGCTCGGCTTCTGTTGTCGACACGATTTTCTCACAGAACATGAACTTAATGCGGACACTGATATTTATCTGTCACGATATATTTGTGCTCAAATCTGCTGACATTTTACTTATTGCGCATTAAGCGTCAATTATTTGTTGCACAAGATTTTTTAAACGTATATTATAACTGTTTTATTTAATTAGGACTTTAATTAAGACTTTTCAAATAATCTTATTAAAATTCTCAATTAATCTTCTCTAATTATCAGCGGTCATTAAACATGAGATTTAATTTAACAAGATACCGTATTAATGCATTCCTATCTTTAATTTGTGATGCCGTGACTATTATAATTATAACGTAATTATGATGTAAATATAACAAAGTATAATACTGTAATGAAATTAGTAGATCGACACGAATAAAGCAGCCAATTAAAAATTCGCCTGAACGAATCTAATTTGCAATAATTAGTTATATTAAAATTTAGGATAGATCTCGGATTCATTAGTGCTGTAAAAACATTGATAAATAAATTAATAAAACGAAAGATTAGAAAATTTTCGTTTTCATTCCTTATTTTGAGAATTATTAATCCGAGAAAAAATGTTTCATATATAATTACATATAATTATATAAAAAATTGACATATTTTATATACAATTAAATATAATTATATATAAAATATGTCCATATCATATATATATACAGGGTCCGGCAAAATGATCTCCCACATTTTGCACCGCTACTGTGCCCGAATCATTGAAGAGAGGGGGAGCTTAGCGTAGTCGGTTGGTAGCTCACGCCTTGCCATTTCAGTTGTCGTCATGAATTGGACGGGTGAGCATCGTGCCTTCGTTATCGAAACATTTTTGAAAAGTAACGAATCTGTGATTACGACGCAAAGAACTTTTCGTACTCACTTCGCGCTTGGTAGACATGCTCCAGTTCCAGATCGCAAAACAATACTGTTGTGGGTTTCAAATTTTGGCGTTTTTATTAAAGATTAAAATGTGGGAGATCATTTTGCCGGACCCTGTATATATATATAACATTTTTTCCCGGGAAACATTGCTGTTTTTAAAACTGCCCTTTTTAGTCCTTAAATTTATGCAAATAATCAGTCAGCAGTTTTCTTAAATTTCGAGCAGATCTTTGACTGTGGCCATTGTCACAAAAACGAGTCCGCATCCACAGAAATGTTATATCTTAGGTCTATTCTTTGCAGCTGCACCAATATATATATTTTTTATTTAAAATAAAAAAATGCATATAATTTTAAATTTTGGGGGAATTAAATTAAGAGGAAAAAATGAAAAATAAATAGTATATAAAAAAAATAAATAGTACAAAAGTTCAGACACAAGGAACAAACATCTCGTTTCGTTACATCGTGGTTACGATTGCGCGGCCAATCACAGCGCGATGACGCCGCAATTGGACAAGAAGCTATGCATATGCAATGAGAATATAAAGCAAAGAGCGCGCGTAAATCGCAATGACGCCGGCGCTTACATAAAACGTCTAATTGAACTATGAATAAGCAATATATCCGACGTACATACAATGTACGTCGCATCAGGCATTGTCAGCCGTAATAGAATATGCGAAATGCCATTAAATTGGATCCCAAGTCGGTCATTTGATACCAGTTTATTTTTCTTTCTTGCATCCGACATGAAACAGATATACGTTGATTGTTCGAGGAAACGCAAAAACAAACGTATGGTATAGCACATTCAAAATGAAATAGGAGAAAAAGACTCAAAAGTTCTTTTTTTTTAGATATATAGTCAAATGTACTTTATTTAATTTTAGAAAGATAAACGTACTTAAACTGATATTCATAATTACAGATATTTAAGATCTGTTATTTTTGTGGTTAAATCAATGCATTGTTGTACTTAAATTGAAATAAATATATATTTGAAGTTTGGTGAAAGTAAGATAAAAGTTTTAATACAGTCTAATGATAAGTATAGCAATAAAGAACAAGCCTCTTATATTCAAGACTATCTTAAGTACTATTACTTATACTGAAACACTGTACGATCACATTAACTGGTTGGCAATCTTGAGATTATCTATGTCTAAACTTAAATGATTAATGGAATTAATCGTTTTCATCATTATAGATTAAATTTGATCCCGTTTTATCTTACTCTTCATCTTTTCTAATTTTTACTAGAAAAAGATGAAGAATTAATTGAACTAAAATTAAAGTTAAATTGTTATGGAATTGCTGGTGAAAATGAATTAATGTATGATCTAATTACAGCAATGTTCAGTGTTTTGAAAATTTATAGCATACACTACCGCTTAAAAGTTTGGAGCATTCTATAATTTTTTTAGAAAGAAACATGATCCTTTACAGATACAATTATCTTATTCGAAATATTTTTATTTTTAAATATTTTAAAATACTTCAATTTTCATTTTAATTTTTGAACGTATTGGAACTCTTGCAATAAAATTTATAATTGAAATAGTACAAACTTCTGTACATTTACAATGTTAAAATAGTTTTTAAATAATTTTTAAACCTGATTAAATCTTTTCATAATTTAAAAATGCTCCAAACTTTTGAGCGGCAGCATACGTTATGTTCACTACAGATATTTTCAGTATATTAGCTGTGAATATTTAAACACAACCTTTATAGAGTAAATTCACTAACTCTACTAAGATTAGTGCATACTAAAAGTAGCTATACATGAAATTATAGAAAGTTAAATGAAGTTGTTAGGTTGTCACGTTATTTAACAAACTATATACATGTATTATTTATTGGTAAATTTGATTATATTATACCACTACATTATACCTACATATGAAGCAGTCTTTAATAATGTAGTGCGAGTGATCGAATTTACCATTAGAATATCGCCTTTAGAAATCCGTTAAAGATAAGCATACGTTTCTTAGACGTGTGAAATTTAAAATACATTTCTCAAATAATTTTTGTAAGTACTGAAAAAAATGCATGTAATTTTATATGGAAATTACATGTATATGACTGGAAAATTATCTAAATTACATAAATATGCTTGGAAATTTACTGGAAATTGTAAATTTCCAATCATGTTTAGGCAATTTTTCAGTCATGAACATGTAATTTCCATGTAAAATTACATGCATTTTTTTCAGTGTATATTTTACATTTTACAATTTATTTATTTTAATAAGGGTATATATCCACAAATAAAAATAAAATTCAATATCATTCAAATACATTTATTGTAACAAAATTAGCATTTTTTTTAAGTATTTAAAAAAATCAACGCAAAAAATCAAACTTCAACGACTCCTACGCCAACGTAGTTTTATAATACTTATAAAGGTTCTAGAATTAAAGAAAATGGAGGTACATAGAAGATATACATTAATAAAGACGATGCGAAGAAATGCAGTCGTTTCTCCACCGAGTTTTATTGATCGACATCGCAAAAAGCGAAGTGCGCAGATTGTTTGATTTATGTATTTATGTATAAGACTAATTTGCAGATCGTATCGATAAAGTTCAAGATTGAATGACGCCGAGTTATCGATTCACTGCCTCCCTCTCCTCCCTCTCCCTCTCTCTTTTCCTGTCTCTTTCTCGCTGCATCACGATTCTGCGCATAATGCGAACGGCGAGAGGGAAAAACGGGAAAGCCTGAAATTAATTCGTTTAATTCGGAGCCAGATGGCTCCGAGTACTTGGAGTACGCTCGTAACTATACGCGTGTAAATTTTTTTCAGCAAATTAGCGAAAATCGAGCTTCGCTGGATCGGAGAAAATTCCATTATAGAACGTCGAGGTTAACGATGCGCTAGTTTGCGGACCGCCGCGCGGGTCGCCGGTTTTAATCAATCTAGAATTAGCGTCTCTTTCAGATTACAATATGCCGCTGTGTAACGCACAGTAGCGGAGGCGGAGAAGCGAGCATTAAGATGGATATGTCAGTTAATATTGGAACGATCGTGGGTGGGGCGTGTGACGACCGCGATTATTAAAAATTCACACGTATCAACGATCGATCAGTCCTTTCAAAGTGGAGAAAGAGAAAGAGAGAGAGAGAGAGAGAGAGAAAGAAAGAAAGACAAAGAGGAAGAGGTCAACCGGCAGATGCGGAACGCGATAACGAGAGCCACACAATCGGGCCAGCTACGTATATATACACGAAACGTCATCGGTCACGGCCGGCTGCGCTTTCAGGAAAAAAAAAAATGCCGGACATTCCAGCGGAGCGCTCGACCGTCCGTTAAACCGAGGAGCGGAGATTCATCCACAGAGAAACGTGAACTTAAAGAGAGTCATCGGCGACATGGTACGACAGTAGGATCACGTTGGATGGTTGGATCTCGTCGTGCGTCACACGACGACACGACGAGATATAGCGTCTCTTTGTCGATGCGCAGCGACACCGTCGGTTAATAAGCGAGAGTCGAGGCTTCCTCCACGGCTTCTTATTCGTCCTACCAGCATCAAGCGTGGCTCGCGTCACGTTGCCGCGATCGTTGCGGGCGTTGCAGACGTCGCAGGACGCAGTGAGTTGCAGCCAGTTGCAGTTGCGACACGGTCGGAATTGTGTGCGCGCGCGCGCGCACTCTTTCTCTCTCTCTCTCTCTCTTTCTCTCTCCGTCTCGTTCTCTCGCACGCTTTCCTTCTCTCTCGCACGCGCTTTGGGAACCGTGAGAGCTTGAGACGAGTGGATCGCACGGTTAGAATGTAGATCGATGGTGTGCGATCGAGGCCGTCAGTGTTCACGCGACATCGTGTTCCGTCCGGCTTCGTTGCGCGCGGCGACCCGCGGCTTCGGACGGAAGTGATCGACCGAGAGGAATAATCGGCGACGACGTGCGGCGGAACTGGAAGCGCTGAAGGTTCTCGCCGGTTAATCGCGATGCGTCTCGTCCACGTTTCTCCGTCGCGTTGCGACGCGCGCTGATTACCGCGTTAATTCGTTGCCACGATGAATTGACACGTCTCTCAGTCGCCAACCGATCGTTGGAAGACGTGGTGCGAGTCGCCGCGCCGCGACGCAACGCGACGCGACGCACGTTTCGCGTAGCAGTGATACGACGAACGTAAACACGCACTGCTGCCCGTCTCGTGCGCGCGGCGTTTCTTCCTACGCGCGTCAAGCGTCTCCACGGCGGTAAATCGTCTAGCTATGTTCAGCTAGATGAACTACGATGGACTACGTTCGTCAGCTTTGACGCGGAAGGATGTAGCGCGCGTCTTTGTGTCAGGTTAAAATTGACGACGTACGAATCGTCGATCCTAAATCTCGCAATGAGCTCGCAACCGATTGTGGTGCCTGGTGGAGAGCATCGTCTTCAGCCGGAGACTCATTCTGTACCTGTTGGAAGTTCAGCGGACTCCTACAAGACCATGACACCGCCAAACGTCAGCAGATCCCTCAGTCGTAAGTGTTGTTTATTTTATGTCTCGCTATTATATTACGTATTGTGTTTTCATATTTTAGTAAGAAAACGTCAAATGTGCAATGATGCCAAGATGTAAACAGTTTGAGTCGTTATAAGACACTGTAATGATGTTAATGATTATTTATGTGTCTTACTCGTTATTTAATTATAATTATTGATAATTAGTTTGTAAGAAATTGTGAAATTAAGAACAGCTGTCGAGCACACTTACAAAAATATAAAATTGTACAAATTACTTGATATTAAAAATAGGGAAGCATAAAAATATGGAATTAAAAGAGCCTCGTAATTACATATTGTACATACAAATTTATACAAAGATTATGTGCGTATTTCCTAACAAAATTTATGAACTTTATGAAACTTTTATCGTAAGAACTTTTATTGTAAGAACTTTGTCATTGACATCTGAATCATATCAATTAAGAACAAATAGATGTAATTGCGGCATGTTTTTGCAAAACTCTTTCCTGTTATTAGTGATCTGAAATTCAATAGATTTATGTAACGGTCTCATAAATTATATACAATTTCTAATGTTTACGTAATGTCTACCTTTATATACACAGGTCAGAATATTTATTTTTATGTGTCACAGTTCAGTATTTATAAATGTATAGATTTCTTTAAAATGCATTTATTTTTTAACAATCACATTTTCCTAAAATATTTTAGACATTCAACAATGTCTTTAAGGAGGAAAAATGAAAGTAATATACCTACATTTAATATACTTTTAATATCTTTAACACACGTAACGTACATTAAGTATAACATAACAGTTTTGTTACAATAATATTTATATATTGTTTGCGTGTCTCCCTTTTGCAACATATTTCTTATGTGAAATGCTTAGTAATCCTGACAATGACATGTCAGATGTACACTTATAGTAGCTTATTAATATGAATGAAATACATACTGTAGCACGTCCGACTGTTGGAAAAATGGAAATCAATACTTGAGAGTGTAACAAATCATTTCTCATATTATAGTAGGAATCCCTATTCTGTTATAAGCATTGTAGTTAGTTGTGGATAATAACTCCTTCTTTACGACCCACTTCTCTATACTGGTTTTGTCCTGTCATATACAATACAATCGGGACAATGTATGATTTTACATTGATTATTGTAAGCTCTTGGATGAAATGTAAAGGTTCAGTTGGTGTTCTGGATAACATTTTCACATAATGAGTCTCTTTATTAAACATGACTGTTTTGATACTCCGTATACAAAACACGATACACAGATATAAAACAACAGATAAAAAAACGTAGTGTGGAAATTATACAAGATCTGCAAATATGTCTAAACTACTTCATTAATAATAATTTACGTACACTAATATTTTTTGAAACATTTATTGAATTATGATGTATTATTGATTATGTTACTTTGAGAATAATGTTTAGTTCTCTTTTTGTAAATATTCGGTATGTAATTTGCTTGGCTGCATGGAGCAATATGAAGCATGTCCTCAATCGCGCATGTATAAATTAAGCATGCATATCTTTTTTCTTCTTTTGTAATATACATATATGCAACAGGATAGACAAACATGCAATATCTCTCATTTAATTGCAGATTAATTGCGCGTTTTTGCAACTATCATCTCACCATCACATATAAGATAATAATATTAGGACATTATTTTTATTATTACATGCGTAAATAATGTTATTGTTAATATTACCTATTTATAACGTAGAAAATATAACTGGCTGTCTATACTGTCGACTAATCATTGAATAGCTCTTTGAGATTTTAATGTGACGTAAGATGTGATAATAAATATTGAGTGCAATTGAATGAGTGCTAAATATGTAGAACCAGCGGATCGACAACTTCGAAGAAGCAGCGTCCAAGCACAGTCTACACCATTACCTAAACTTCCATCAACTGAGTCCCTTGCAACAAGCATAAATATTACAGCCGGTGCACCTCCAATTTCTCCAGGTATAAATCAAGAAATATTTTCGAAAGTAATACATCATTGCTATAGTTTGGGATAACTCTGAACAGTTACAAGCAGCTTTCCAAACTTGATTAATATTATAGGCTTTTATTTTTGCAATATAATGAATGCATATACGCTAGAAAAATTCTGAAATTATGTATGGCTTATATAGCTTCCTTGACATTTGTGTTTGCATTTCGTTTCAATGCAATTTTCTTTACGAATTGTAAACTGTATAGTAATGTCATTTAAGGCTTATGCACTTTATATGATGCTTGTAAGGTAAGCTTCAGATACGCAAAAAATGTTTATGTAATTAACATAGTAATACAAAAAAAAGGATATACATATACACATTGACCTGATTATATAACTCAGAGTAACAACTCGATAATACAAATATTACGTCGCATTGTATTGAACTGTTTCATAAAGCTTGCATAAAAATTTAGTTATCTTTTTGTAGGTTGATAGATGATACTTATTTTTTAGTAAAAATCGGATATATTGCATGTGTCTTAATATTTAATTTTTAATATTAAATATCTCTTTATAAAGTAGTGAGTATTTTCTTTTAAGCATGTTTTTTGTTACAATAATGTCTAATTGCCTTGCATCTTTGAGAATTGATATACATCAAAATTTTTTATATTTTAATAATTAGATTTAAATCTGTAACTAGATCGCACAATCTAAATTCTAAAAATAAAAAAATTTAATTTAATTTAAAATAAACAAAATTATTAAAACGTATTAGCGAGATTTGATGCAAATCTTGCAAAACATTCTATATATTATGCATATATTAGCATAATGGATACGATTTAATATAATAATAATTTTTCGAAAATCTGATTTTTGTACTATATATGATTTAAAAATCATAAATGTACATACATCGAATCAGTAAATAAATACTGTCTGTTTAAATAGTAAGAATAGATAACTTAATATTGTATAATTATAATTTATTTGTAATAAGCTCCTAAAACAAATCAAGATAATAAATTTTATTAGGATAGAGCGGGGCTTTTTCGTCCATTTCTTATGATAATGTTCATGTTTCTGAACAGAACTTGTTGATTATTTAAAAGTTGTGCTTGTATGCCCTCAAGGAGCAATTATAATTGTATAATGTAATTATAAGCATGTCACTGCAAAGAGATACTGTTTGCTATTGTAAATTTTCGTATTACTTTAAAGTTGAAATTGACAGAATAGCCCCGCTCTATCCTATTATATATTGTTGAATATTATTACTCTATATCTATTTCTGTTTTGTGAAACACATGTTTTGTAAATTTTACAATTATTCGCTTCAAATATGAAGCATATGAAATAGAATATTGATTATTTAAGCTGTCAATAAAAGCTAATATTAAATAAATTAAACATGAAGTGAGATTCTTGAATTAAATAGTCTTGATTTGTTTAACTGCGGTGTAGAAAAAATAATATCTGTGTAACTTTATATTAGATTCTATTTTAACTAGAGTTAGATGAATACATAGATTCTATGCATGTATATAAGACAAATATGAAATAACATATTTGTACATATTTGCATTGTTTTATTGTTATTATAAAGAGTGTGATTTCTTTAATTATTTTAATAATCTGTAAGTATGCATTATTTTTATCTAAAAATGCAACACTTAGTTTTATCTTATCCTTCATTTTTAAATTATTAAGTTTGATTTTATAATAAAAATTGTGGGCTTGTTCATTTGTTAAAAAATATATCTGTAAATTATAAGTGTATAAAATAATTATGGAAATAATATACATGGTATACAGTATACAGTATACATATAATTTATATATACTAGATATATCATGTATAAAAATTAATATAATATAATCTTATTTTTAAATATATCCAGATCAGATTATTTATGAACTAAAAGTACTTATTATAATGTATGCACTGTATTAAAATATGTATATAATATACACTGTGTATTCAGTACATTAAAAATAATATATTATAAAAATGAATTTTTTTTAATCTCTACTAAAATTAAAAATTTTTTGAGAATAAACTCTACGTACACATTCTATTTCGGCACACTCTAATTCGCATAATTACGACTGTACAAAATATAATTATAAAAAATAATTCAAAATTATGTATGTTATAGGGATCTCTGGTATGGGCGAAGGTAGTCAAAAAATGGATAATTCATCAGACAAGGTAAATAATTCTCTATTCTTGAGGTACAATTTCTTTGTTTATTAAAGCCAGAAAGCTCTTGGAAACAAATTTTTGCAAAAGTTGACTGCAAGTTTCATTAGCAAAAGATTACAGATTTGATGCGTGACTTTTATTCAGCAATATTTTTTTAAATCGTGCAATCAGTAAAAATAATTTATTCTTTTATTTATTTCTACCGCTCCATTACTTTATTTTTATTGAAATACAATAAGATATAATCTATTTTAATTTAAATTTGTATTTTTAATGAATAATATTTTTATAATATTTTTAGTCGTTAGATTCTTGCAAATTAACGCGAAAGGAATCGTATAAGGCTCAAAGAAAGAATTATCGAATGGAAAAGAAAAGAGTAGCCGATGAACTTTTAAGTTCTTTCAAAGATCCAACCGTTATTGTTATGAGTGATTGGTTAAAAGTTCGCGGCACATTGAAAAGTTGGACCAAGTTATGGTGTATTCTGAAACCTGGATTATTGCTGCTGTACAAAAGTCCAAAAACGAAGGTTTGTGTTTGCATTTCTCTTTTTTTCAACTCTACCTTTCTTATTGTATCTGCGATATTAATTACAGAGTAATCATTGGGTTGGAACGGTATTACTCAATACATGTCAAGTTATAGAACGTCCGAGTAAAAAAGATGGATTTTGTTTTAAATTATTTCATCCGTTGGAGCAATCTATATGGGCTCCTCGAGGACCAGAAAAAGAAGCTATTGGTATATATCTCTATCATATACATTGTACATATACTGCTCTTGTATAGCAATTTTTTGCAATATGTTAATAGATAACACCTATAATCTAATCTTTAGATATAATAATAGATATAGGTATATATAATTGGGCGTGATTGGTTCTCACCTATTAGTCTTAAATTCTGTGATTTCTTCAAACTTTTATAAGTAATAATCGGAATGTTAACATTTTGTGGAAATTCTTATGTTCCTCCCTGTAATGATAGGATTATATATATATATAGACATATATATACAATATAATATGTATATGTACTCGCATGTAATTTTACAATTACAAATAAATTAATATTTTTTAGGTGCTGTAGTACAACCTTTACCAACATCTTACTTAATCTTTCGAGCACCATCTCAAGCGGCAGGCAAATGTTGGTTGGACGCACTTGAACTGTCGTTACGTTGTTCTTCGTTAATAGTACGCTCGACAAGCGCATTACCGCGTCCTTTACCACACGATGCAACCACCACTCATGAAACTCAATGGAGCGAGGCTGATTATGAAAAGCACTTTGACGATCATGGTCAGTATCATTGACATAGCTTCCTACTCTTACGATATTTAAATATAATTTGTAATACAAGTGAAATATCTTGCGTTTAATAAAACTTAAAGAATGTAATTGCTAATGAATAAATGCTAATATAATAGCATATATACATATATAGGGTTTTCTAAATTTTTTGCATGTTTTTCATCCATAGAGTAACTAATTTGAGATCAATTTTTTTGTAGTATAAATATTCTTGATCTTTATTATTTATTTCTTTATAAATTATTATTGCCTCATTGTTAATACTTAAAAAGAAATCTTATTCTAAAAAAAGTAGTTCTAAGAACACGTGCATGCGTGCGTGCGTGTGTGTATGTGTGTATAAAAATTTATATTATACATATACAGGGTGTTTAGAAAGTAATGAAAAATCTTTCGCGTAGGGGCATAATGGACTAAACTAAGAAGAAAAGTCCTCTACCATTTTACAATTTTCGCAATAGTTAACAAGATATTAATTACTAAAAATTGTCGAAAATTAGTCTTCAATAATTTTTTACTGAAATACTATTAACTTTAGTAATTTTACAGAAAAACTGAAAGAAACAAAAATAGTTTATTTTCTTCTCATAAAGCTTTAAGAATTTTTTTAGAATTTTTATCAACTTTTTAATACTGTATTTTCTTATTTTTACTAATATGAAAAAATACGGTATTAAAAAATTTTGAAAAAATTCTGAAAAAATTCTCAGAACCTTACGAGAAGAAAATAAACAATTTTTGTCTTTTACAATTTTTCTGTAAAGTCAATAGTATTTGAGTAAAAAATTATTGAATACCAATTTTCGACAATTTTTAGTAATTAATATCTTGTTAATTGCGAAAATGTAGTAGAGGACTTTTCTTCTTAGTCCATTATGCTCCTATACGAAAGATTTTTCATTGTTTTCCAAACACTCTGTATACATATAATATAAATTTTTATTATGCATGATTATGTATGATCGTGAATGATTGGTGTACAACGTTCAAACTATTTTGATTATCACTAAAATTAGGACTAAAATATAAAATTATATAATAAATATTAAACTAAATTTATTATATATCGAAATTTTTTTACAAAACAAAAGAAGAATAAGCAATCAATTCTTTTGATAGAATAATAAATAAATAGAGAATTGGATTGGTAAAGGCATTTAATATAATTAGAGAAGTATGTTGTACAAGAAGTAAAATCTGTGAATGATGCATAGCGATTTATCAATTTACACTTCTATTGGTGAAAGTAATTAATTTTAAATTACTTTTTTGGTATAAATTTTATATAACCAAACAAAAATCGCGCAAAAAGATTTTTAATAATTTAATATTTTAATAACTTGTAATATTTTCTATATATTGTATATGTATATAATATGTTATATATGTATAATATAAAAATATAACTTCAAATTTTTTATCAATATAAATTTTATTTATATTACCATACAAAAATAATTCATAATAATGAATAACTTTCATTTGTGCAGTGCTACATGAGTTTAATGTAAATGTTTTAAAAAGTTATTTTTATGTAAAAGTATCATTCCAACTAATTTTATCATCTAATTTAATAACTAATTCTCTGACGAATTGACGATTAATTTCTTTAATGACGATTTGCAGTTGGTCGTATTTTACTATTGTTTTAATTTTGAATATTAAATGTTAGATCAGTTAAACTAATTAGTACGAAAATTACAATGGCGTTCAAGTTTGGACAGATTCATATTAAAACAGTTAATCCAAGAATATTTTTATATTTCTATGCGTTCAAATTTTAAGATACTAAAAGTTTGTAAAAAAAACTAATTATGATTAATTTATTTAATCTTAAATATATATATATATTTAAATTTACGAACTATAATAATGATCGCTGTTATGTTTCTTTTTTTATCCTGCTTTTTGCATTAACAGTATATTTAAGTCGCTATGCTCCAAGAACACCTACGACCCCTCAAAGACGCTTGTTATCTCATCCGCAATCACTCTCTCCCGCTGTAACTCGCGATAGAAGTATTTGTCCCTCGCCAACTCCAATGTTTCAACATCTTTGTCACGCAGTCGCGTATTGGGAAAAACTTTTACTTGATCGATCTCCCACACCTGGAACAGACCAAGAAAATATTGCGTCTTTGATCCCTAATGAGGAATCAGATGGTGGTGATACTCAACCATCTGGATCTTCATATTTTGCTTCTGCATCTCATCCACCAGTTTCCCCAGCACGTCGCATGACTGTTCCTTCTGTACATGTCTTAGAGTATGATACCCGTCAAGTAGTAACGCTAGATCCTGTGTACCCCTCGCATACAGACCTGGACGATATTAGTCAGCCAGAGAATGGAGTAGTAGCTGATGCTGAAATCAGTGCCTCGGACAGTGAATCTGAAGCATCAGCCAAAGAAGATCAATCGGAGCCAATCACCGAAACACCATACACAGCTAATGAAAATGAAATTCTTGGAACGGTAAACAGTAACTCTGCAATTCTTAATTAGAATACATGTTTATAACGAGATATTTATTATAATTAATTCGTTGAACTTTGTTTTTTATAAAAGTTACTATACTATTATCAATTAATAGGCCGGTGAAGTCGTTACAGAACTGCAAGAAGAACAAAAGTCTTTGATATGGTTCTTAATGAAACAAGTTCGCCCTGGCATGGATCTATCTAAAGTTGTATTGCCAACTTTCATTCTGGAATCACGGTCATTTCTAGAAAAACTAGCCGATTCGTATTATCACGCCGATTTATTGTCCCAGTTAGTAAAACGTAGTAATATAATATATTAGTACATTATGATTTTTTTAATACATACAAAACAATATAATTTCTGAATTTTATTTCATTTTACAGAGCAGTATTGGAAGATGATGCATTTACACGTATGAAAGCCGTAGTGAAATGGTATTTATCGGGATTTTACAAAAAACCACAAGGCTTGAAAAAGCCATATAATCCGCTTTTGGGCGAAACATTCCGCTGTTATTGGCAACATCCTAATGGTTCAAGAACATTCTATTTAGCCGAACAAGTATGATCCAGAAAATAATAAATTAATAATTGATTAATCAGATTAGATTTTGTTTACATTATCTTAATAATCCATTATCGTAACTTCAATAAGTCAGATTTCCTTTATTATATGTAAAATCAATATTATGTAATATATTTATTATATGTAATATCAATATATAAATAATTAGCTGCATATATACATATATATGTATATATGCAGCTAATTATTCATTATTTTTTTATGAAAAAGTACCGTGTTTTGTATTAACAAATATATCTGAAACTTTCTTACTAGTTATCGCATCATCCACCTATCTCAGGATTTTATGTGACAAATCGTCAAGATGGATTTACTATCAGTGCTACGATCATTGCAAAATCTAAATTTTATGGTAATTTGTTTATTATTTAATATAGGCTGTAGTAATATTCATATATATTTCCGATGTATATAGCGATAACATTACTCATAATACACATGTCTTACAGGAAATTCGACCTCTGCAGTTTTGGATGGTATTGCTGTATTGACGATGTTGCCGAGAGGCGAAGATTATACAATGACAATTCCTTATGCACATTGCAAAGGCATTCTTATGGGGACATTATCTATGGAACTCGGTGGAAAAGTGAACATAACATGTGAGAAGACCGGCTATCACACAGAATTAGAATTTAAACTTAAGGTAATATACATGATATATTTGGTTTTTTTTACATAATTATCAACATTATTAATAAAATTGCGATTTGTTTGCGATCTTGTTTTAAAAAGTATAACGAAATCTTAATATTTATCTCTTATGTTATAATAAGGTTTAATAATAAATTAAAAATTAATAATATTAATTTGATTAAAAATAATGTTAATATAATTAAAAATGTTATAATAATATATATATTTTTAGCCGTTTCTTGGCGGTGCGGAATTAATGAATCAAGTTGTAGGACGAATACGCCTAGGAAAAGAAACTTTGGCTACTATTATGGGGTACTGGGATGGATTGATTTTAATAACGGACAAACGGACAGGGGTAAAATAAACTTAAATCTTTTAATTGATAATTTAAAATAACTATTAACGTAATGTTTTATTTTGCAGCAAGAAAACATTTTCTTCAATCCTACTCCGGAAATACGCAAAAAAAGATTGAAAAAATATACTGTTCCTTTAGAACATCAGGGATCATGGGAAAGTGAAAAATTGTGGTTGGCTGTTACACAAGCTATTAATAGGGACGACCAGGTTGCCGCTACTGAGGCTAAAACTCGACTTGAGGAAGCACAAAGAGAACGCGCTAAAGAGCGAAAGAGTCTAGGACAAGAATGGATTCCAAAATATTTCGTTCAAGTACGATATACATCATTTTCATATTTAATGTTTATGTTTATATATTGTCAAATATTTATCAGATATTAATATTTGCAAAATAATTTCCAACTTTTCCTGATTTCATTAGGATATTATAACTGGAAATTGGGTTTATCGGCATGCTGATATAAGACCATGGGATCCGAGAAACGATGTAGTACAATATGAAGAAAATTATATAGTGCGCACAAAGACTAGGCATAAAACACCTATTATGCGTACTGGTAGTATTGTTTCTACTGACCCCCAATCACAGGTACAGCGATGTAAGATGTAGTTTGCACTATGCATGCTGTTTTAACATTGTACACATTTGTATAAGTAATAATTAACCGCTTTATGTGTCTATTTTATTCTTTTTCCGGCAGTACTATTCAACAACTGCATGTTATACAGTTTTATTTTATTTGCTACCGATGGATTTGACTAGATTGTATACAGCTCTGATATTTTTAATAAACTTGTTTCGCTTGACTTGTAATTTACATTGGTATTAATATTAATTAGATTATTCTATTTATTAATCAAAGTAATATTATTTTTGCGTAATCATTTATCGATTCTATAAAATTCTATTTTATGATTAATATAAACTATATATATTTAAAATTATTACACATTCAAAGTACGTTTTAAATATATATCTTAGAAAATTTAATAAAAATTTATACTTAATATACGATTTTCCACAGTTAAATTTTTATATTTTTGAACGTCGTACATGTATTGCCCTATGACTTTTGCTTTCTAAAGTCTGTGTACATAAAACATGCTTTTATTATAGAAAAAAGAAATATAAAAGATACTAGATCACAATATAGAAGACTATGCATGTTAATAAAAAGAGTGCTTCTATTATTTGTTCTATATTTTTTTATATTTTTAATAAATAATTAAAATTTTATATCTATTATCACAATATACTCAAATGTAAAATAAAAAGAGAGACAAATTATTTAAATTTATTGCTATTTATACTTTAATTAACATGTATGCTCACTAATCTAGAAAGCATTTTATCAGGTAGTTTGACAACAATTTCTAACACAAAAGACAAGACATAGTTTCAAAAATGTGAATTAAAAAGACTTTTAATTAGATTTCAAGCTTAGGAGACATCGTTAATACGTATTTAACTCTGATTAACCATCTAGATTACAAATCGTTGCAGATCCCATTATTACAAGCTGAATCACGTTCCTCCTTATCAGTGCTCAAATCTTCTAAGAGGCAGCTATCAAATAATATGCCTTTAACAGAGACTCATGATTCTGGAAGTTCATCTGCGGAGGCACATACCGATTCTAGTCAATCATTAGGAAAAAGAAAACGTTCAGCCACTAGGTAAGAACATTAAAATGTAACAAAAATATTGTTAATTATTAACTATATAGCAATGTGCACAAAATTTGAACATTATAATGTGTGAATATGTGCGTGTGTGCGTGCATGTGTCCCAGTCAAAGTGTTAACTTTATGAATGTATTCACTTACTGTAGTCTGCTATAGTCATTGTATACTAAATAAATGTGTACTAAATACTATGTAAATGTATACATTTACTAAAGTTAACACTTTGACTGTGACATAGCTGTATATATATATATTTAAATATATTCATTTTAGGTTAATTGACATAATGAAACAAGTTGAGCATCAAATGATAGAACATGGTGAGAAATTGAATCGTATACAGCAGATTGTAGAACAAGTTGTAAGAAAGCAAAGAGAATCTGGTGAACAGCATCATACCATAAATATGTCTAAGAGTTTCGTGGATACTATACTTATTATTGTTATCGTTTTTTCCGTGCAATATTTTTTAAACATATGGCATAATGATCCAACTAAAGATTGAGGGATTTTAATATTGTTCTCTCTCTATCTATTGTGTCACACTGTATTTGAATTATATGTATCACTTTTTTTCCTATCTTCTAAAATTCTTGCAGCGTGGTGTCGGTATTTTATGATCACGGTGGAATGGATCGTTTTACAAAAGAAGTATAATAATATAATTTTTATTTCAAAACACCATAACGTGAAACATTCTCATTGATATAGAAATATAAAGTATTAAGAGAAAAAAAATATATATATATTAAGAGTTCTACATGTTACACATCCCGTGCAATGATATTTTGTTATATAGATGTAGAAATATAAGAAAATTTAAATCCAAGAAGTTACAATCCATATTGTATATAAGGTTTAATATCGGAAGAATTATAAGTTCTCGAATTATATATAATATATATATATTAATATAATTTTATTGCAACCAGCCAGTACCAAATTGTAATATAATCACATAATTGTAAAATATTTAGATGTCACTTTTACAGCTATAATTTATTATAAATCCTGCTATATTTAAATCTGTATTAATATATGATATATATAATAGCATGTTATAATTTGATTCTGATGTGATCTCAAATAATCTATATCAAGCTGTCTTATTCATATTTGTAAATCGATTAACTTTATTATCATTATCGAATAATTTGCATCAAAATATTCTTAATAATATTGATAAAAAATTTCTTTAAAAACTCCAGTACGGAAAGCTTATGACATTTTATATTTCATTTACTACTAAGCTTGTCATGTGATATTTCGATATAGCAATAGTATCAGATTTATGTGGGTGGATGTGCGTGTGTATGTGCGCACGCGTGTATGCGTGTAAAAGAATCTATCCAACTCGCTTGACGTTTCACCGGATATAATTTTTTTTAATCAATAACATATTTATGTATTTTTTGAAAATTTTAAATTCAATAAAATAGTATAGTTTAATATATACGTATAAACCATTCTATGCATATAACTATCTATAATTTTGTATATATTAGAAATATGGATTTTCTTGTTACAAATTATGCGTGAACATATTATTTAAAAATATTAAATATATCAAAGTATAAATATATATAATTCGTCAAAAAGCTTTTCGATAGGTTAATTTATGACATTGATACTTTTTATTAATTGTACATTAACAATTTTGGTTATTGTTTATACACATTTGTCGATATTATAAAACTTAATTGAGACTGTTCTGAAATTATGAAGAGAAAGAAGTAAAGCTTTTCTTAATCTACATTTGCTAAAATATCAATTAATACCACTAATATCACATACAAAATAAAATATATTAAAATAAAATAGCTAAATGCGCTTACAAATTTGTATAATATAACTAAAAAATAGAGTGGAATAGCTATTATTTTAGTCATAATTCGTCACAATAAGTTAATAAATTAACTGATTTTATTTTTTTTTATACTTATAATTTGGTAAAAATATATACATGGCTTATTTTATATATTAAATGATATTATAGACAAAAAATTTCTTTTTTTAACATTTTATATTTTTTTAAAAACATTGTAAAAACTAGTTTTTTAAATATAATTTTCAAATTAAATCACTCCACATTATGAAAGTATGTTATAAAGAATAATATAAAAGATTTAATTTAATGCATTGAGAGATAACATTAATTATTTATAGATAATATTATTTATATGAGAGAGAGGAAAATATAAATATGTATACAAACGTAGTTTGTTAATTATTCTACAATCAATATGTATATATATAATTAATAATATATGTAATTTAGCAAAAGGAACATATCGGCCACTAACATTATTCTTCTACTTTTATGAAAAAAAATAAGAATAATCTTTATTATTGCAACATGAAACTTGGACATTTATTATCTTTACGTGAACTTTTGAATACGCGTACTTCTCTTAAATGTTACATTATATGTACACATTTTATTTGTTTATGACTGATGTCATTCATTTTAGGTAATAAATAAATAAAGTATTCATATAAAGTTTTACATCATTATACAATATTTTTCTTAAATTGCTTCAATTCTCTCTAAATGGGTATGTATTATTTTCTACAAATAAAATAGCTTTATACGTATATATATATATCCTATTATTTTTTAATTTCACCGAGTTTGATTCAAAGGTAAAAACCATAGTAGAATTAGACATAGTCTAATTCCATCATAATAAAAACAACGAAATGAATGTATATGTGTATTATGAATTGTCGGTTACATTCAAAACAAAATGTCAAAATTACTTATGTCAAAATAACAAGAATTATTGAATCAATGCTACTAATAACAAATTAAAAGTTGTAAGTTCAAATATTACAAAATTTTATTTGCTCAATGATATATACATACATATGTCAATAATAAATCCTTAGACGTTTTTTCAAAAATTTCAGGAAGATATTTCTTTAGGAAACGATTCTATTATAAATCTTAATTTTAGCATAGTTATATCTTTTTATTATAAATCTTAATTGATTTATTTTAATATATATTTTATTGTAATGAAAGTAAATGTACATAGATACAACATTTTTCCTTATTTTATTTTATACATGTATGTTCGATTAGAATAAAATATTCTAATAAAGCTTATTTTGTATTCAGATGGGAGTGATCCCGATAACGCCACAGATGCTACGTGCAACCGTAAAAGAATTACAAAAATGTCAATTGTTTGTTAAATTAAAAAATTTAAAAGATCATATACTGAGACATTATCCGGTTGAAACCGATTTAGAAATTCTCGAACAAGAATTACAAGAAAAACTGAAGTATGCTGTTTGTGTTGGACTGATCGCTAAATATGGAGATGACCAATATTGTATACCAACTTTACGAGAAGAGGCTAATGCTGTTAAAACAGCGATCAGCGCATTTTGGGAAATGTACAAAAACGTAATACGATACGTTGATTTCTTTTACATCAATTTTTTTATTTTTTATGCAACAAAGTGCAGCCATCCAATAAATGTCCTTTTATCAATTTAGAACAATCAGTTACCTAATAAGAGAAAGAAAAAATTAGATACCAAAAGATCGCTATCACATCAGAAACGACACAAGTATATGAATTCCTCTAAGAACGATGAAACTGATAGCAGCGAGGATTTAGATTTTTTCTAATCTATCTTTTTAGACATACTTTTATATACGTCCCATATGATATGAAATTTTATATATATACATATATATATATGTTGCGTGTAAAAATAATATACTTATATATATACTTATATAAAGAAATTATTCAAATTTATATGAAATATGTAAATGGTAAAGACGCAAGTGTACGCAATTTAATTATAAAATAATAAAAAGTCTAATGCTGCATGGTACCAAGTATGGAAAACGAATTGTTTACATCGTAAAATTCTTCGCTGGTGCTTTCCTGTGGTGGATTTTCTTCATGATTTTCTTCCTGCGAAATACACTTTTTTTTTTCGTGTCTTTTTATTTTTTGTTTCTTACATTTATCGGCTTTCTTTTCTAGTGTAATATTAAACAAAGATTTGACTTTTAACAAAAGTATGTTAAATAGACGCGATAAACTCGGGGAATCTTGCAAAATTAAATTAATATAAGCTTCAACATCGTCACGTTTTTTAAAATTGCTACATAAATTATACAATAATGTACCATTGAACACATTAGCAACTCTAGTTGGTTCATAAGGATATCCCAATAATGCATTTAAGTTCATGCTATGCCTCAAGCAATTTTGGAACTCTGCAAAACCATGAATAATTGTAATATTAAATTTTTTCGGTTGCGAATGCAGTTTCCAATCTACTTCATAATTAGATATAAAGAATGGGGCTACAATTATGCAGTCATTAGCATCAACTTCGTGAATGGCATCTGCAAGTGTAGCATTAATTGAATATTGTGGTTGATAATTTCCTATTTTTCTTTCCTGTCGAATATTATCTATAATTTCAATATAACTCTGATAGAATTTGCTTACGGTTCTATAAAAGCCTATATTATAATCTATTATGTTGAATAACAAAGCAAATAATAAAGAATAAACATGACAACTAAATTTAGATGGTTCCTCTTGTTGATCTATCCAATACTTCATGGTTGCAATATATAACATCCAAATTGATGGAATTTCATTTATATATTTCGCATTGGAGATTGTCAAAGTGGTATTTAAAATTTCTCTTCTGATGACAATGGATACTTCTCTTAAATTGAGTAAAGGAGGTAGTTTACAACCAAGTATATTATCGCTATACTCTAATTGATAGCGCTTTATTTTCTTATTCTCATCTCTGGTAATATATTCCATATTGGAGTTCCTTCCCTGAACTCCTGATATCAATAATCCATAAATAACACCTATAATTTTTAAACTTGCAACAATAGATGAAACGTAGGAATAATCTTCAATTTGTGTAGGACAAACATACAACTTCCTCATTAGTAAATCTATAAAATAGGAAGGGAATCTGCTTTGTTTGAATTCGTTAATAAACCACTGAGGCAAATTGTCAACGAAAAACTTATTAGAAATTAACTTCTTTTCTTCAAGTAGATTTGCTATTTCTCTGTCTTCTGTTTCTTCCCCATCACTTAGCTCTGCTTCATTTATCTGCATTCTTTCGTCAATGTATGTCAAATTATATATATCACCTTCAAACTTATACATCTTGGACATATTCTGCATATTTGATCTTGAAAAGATTTCTGCAGGAATACCTAGCATATGTAACACATTCAATGGTGCATTGATATAACCATTTATTATCTTTTCTATTGTATTTAAAACATGTCTGCGTTCTTGTTTTCGTAATCTTCTTAGTATTCCTATAACAGCTTCGTTTAAACTGTGTCTTCGTAGCCAATCAAATATCGTATCTATACGCCGTTGTTGTTCATTATTGTACTTCCTTCCTGTTCGTGGCAGATGACGGAAGAAGTTTTTAAACATATGTTGCTTCACATAATCATTTCCCAATAATACTGCTGCTAAGTGCAGTAAAGACTGGTTTAATCCATAATGAACCTGGAAAAGTTTATCAACATAATAAATTTTGCAGCGTGTTATGTAACCCCCCCTGCCTGTCGGGTTAGGATCTACATTAGTTTCCATCATATTGAATGGTATGTATAATGATCCATAAATATAGAAGTCAGAATCGTAACTCAATACAGGACAATTGAGAATGCGCGCTATCGCAGCTATGGTATTGTCCGCTTCAAATATACATTGCGCATATCTAATGCCTTTTTCATTCATGATATCTTTGAAGACTTCTCTCATAAGTAGAGGAAGAAATTTGGTCCGCTGCTGAGAAGATAAAGTATAATATGATGCAATATGAATTTTCTGTTTAGTTCGAGATATAACTGTCTTCAGCTTCTTATCTTCGCAACCACCATCAATCAAAACCAGTGGAGTGACGTTGCATCTTAAGAGTTGATCAAAAAAATCCCTCACACATTGTGCATACTTGTCATAATCACCACCAAAAGCACAATTGCATCTCGCATGCCAAGTATATAATTGACAACACACGTTATTGCCGTCAATTACTAAATAACTGTCGTGTAGAGCATAATTTTCAAGATAACGCCTTGAATTATTCGATATGTATGTTGTTAGACCAGGGATACCCATTCCAAGTCAATTTTCTTCAGGAAAAGCTATAAATAAAAACTTCATTCAATAAGTTTCTATAACATAACAAGCATTGATATTTTGGTAATTATACAGAATACCTCCCCCACCACCGATTTCGATAAAATTAGGCTCATTCGACACGTTTTTGTATGAAAAGAAAGAATCTGGCAGAAAAAAACGCCGCTCTGCCCCGCGAACCGAGATATTTAGCGTTAAAGTTGTTAACTATAGAGATTAGGAAATCTGTCGCACCGAATACATGTAGTGCTATTCTATTCCAAATAAATCATAACCCATGGAATATTTTTAACCCATGATATTTGGAGTGTGAGAATTCCAAATGGGTTTTTACTGCCTTTAAAAAGACTTCTCATACCCCACTGTCTTCATTGGGTTTAGGAATATTCCAAGCAGACACCGTCTAGGCTGTAACTTCTAGGCGGTTAGGCCCCAAGCGGGTAGGATGTTATTTTTTTTTCGTTCGGCGCGGCGTAGCCAAGCATTACTGTCTACACACTCCACTGTCCACATGGATTAGGATTTATTTGGAATAGAATAGCGCTACATGTATTCGGTATGACAGATTTCCTAATCTGCATAGTTGACAACTTGAACGCTAAATATCTCGATTT